AAAAAATTCCAGCCAGTCTGAAAAATTTTTTCTCACCAAAAAGGCGGAAAAAGTTTTTCATCAAAAAGTCGGAAAATGCACACGTGTGGGCTAAACCCGAAAAATATTTTTCGTGAAAAATTTCGCCTATCAAACAACCAAAAAAGTGGAAAGTGTAAAATATTTTCCTAGTTGCCTGGAAAATAACGCGTATCAAACACGCCCTAAATTTATGTGACAATACATAACTCCTATATATAAGAAATACATTTCGAAACAAACAAACTTGTCAAATTATTTCAAAATTCAGGTGTTAATTCCAATTAATAATATATAATTAATTGGAATTAATTATCCCCATCCCATTAATAGAATCCGCACCCCCACAAAATTAATAATATATCAATTAATAATATCCAACGATCCCCGACCCCCACCACACCCCACAGACCCACCCCACCTTTAAAAAATTATCGACAATGGAAAACATTTCTCGAGATTAAACCCCACTAACCCCACCCTTCCCTTTAAAAAAATTTCAAACAAATTAAAACCTTGTTTTTTTAGAAATTACATCCCACCCCCCACAGAATCACCCTAGATTTGAGACTAATTGTGTTATCTATGATTAACTGTGACCAAATTTGTCTTTCATGTGATCAAATTTGTCTTCAATGTGTCTATTTGTGACCATGTTAATGTTAATTGTAACAATATATGATCAAATTATAATTAATCACAATCAATACAGAATTAGTCACAATAAACACATATTTGACACAGAGGGTCACCATAAACAAATTTGCACATATCGCAAACCACCACCACCATTACTTTTAATATACTACCACTACCAATTTCAACTCAAATGTACAACTATAAATACTACCTTCACTGGTCTGTGTTATATGTGACTAACTGTGATCAAATTTGTCTTCAGCTTGACCATCTGCGATCATTTTAGTCTAATTTGGGACAGTATGTAACCAATTCACATACAGTCACAATTAACATAAATCTGGTTACAAATAGTCACAATGAAGATAGACTTGGTCATACTCGATTGCCATCGCCGCTCCCAACGACGTGGAAAACCAAACGCACACCACCTCACCAAGACCAGAGCCATCGCCACCTACACCACTATCAACAACAACAACAATAGAACCACCCCATAGATCACGAAATTACCGGCACCATTTACAAAACACTAACAACCATCTCAAAACCCTGGCTAAACAACATATCTGATGAAACAACCACCCACTTCATCTTATCAAACAACCGCCTACACCACCACATCAAACAACCACCCACTAAATCAGTTTCAAATATTTTTATTTAACGGTTACACGAATTTCTCAACCCAAACCCTAAATTCTCAACTCTAAGTTCAATAGAGATGAAGACGACAGTTGAGCGAGAACAGCTTACCCTTCAACGCCGTCGACATGAAATCGATCAACAAAAATGCAAAGTCGAACATTTCCTGCAAGCAACTGCCGTCGACGACGCTAAGAGTAGCTCGTCCTGCAATTACGACAGCGAAGCAAGGCGTCGCTGCTCACATTGCGATGGTGGCGACAATGATGACTTGGCTTCGATAGCAGACGGGCAATAGTTGGTATGGTGTCTGGTGAACAGAGAGAAGGGAGATATAGAGTGAAGACCCCTCTCTCTCTACTTAACCCCCCTTGGGAATTGAAATTTGGGTTGGGTTGGGTTGGGTTTGGGGTGGGGTGGAGTGAATGGTTTGTTATAATAAATATGTATTAACTAATTTATTATATATGTATTAACACCTGATTAGTGAATTTTAGACTTTGCTCCTTATTTAATGGCTAATTAGCATCAAACGTCCCTATTTTGTGGTTGATTTTGGAAATCGTCCATACCTTTCATTTCTTGGTATTTATACCCTTACCTATCACTTTTCCTGCGCTGAACGTCATTTTCACCATATTTTGACTATTTTACCCTCCATTCAATTGAAACAAAAAGAAAAGAAAAGAAAAGAAAAATAATTGAACAAATTGCAACTATTGGCCTAAACGTTTTAAAAAGTGCAAATAACCCACCAAATTTCACATTCTTCTCGAAACTCACCCCCACCCTATACGTCTTTTTCGTCTCTTTTTGACCATTTTACCCTTCTATTAAAATAAAACAAATACAAAAGAAAAGAAAAGAAAAATAAAGAATGAACTGTAACTATAGCCCAAAGTTTTTAAAAAGTGCAAATAACCCACCAAATTTCACATTCTTCTCGAAACTCACCCCCACCCTATCGTCACTTGCCAGCCATTTTCAGGCCACCGTAGCTACCGGATTTTTGCACCAACACCATCTCCTCATCAACCCCTAACATTTCTACACAAATTTTAGCACCAAAAGATAACAAAATCAAACCAAAATTCGTCCAAAAAACACCTACACCAAATACAACGCAAGCCTTCCATTTTTCACCGCGTAGCTGCCAGCTGTCTGGCCTTGGATTTCTCATGGATCCCCTAAAACCACACTCACTATGTTATTCGAATTGTTGTTGGTCGAATTGAAGATTTGGAGCAGAATTGATTCATCTAGTTCATCCATTTCGAATTTTTCGCACAAGGCTTCGCAATATCCACAAATTGATGAGCTCTGGTTGAAATTGACAAAGACCCATGGCTGGGCAAGGTGAACCAAGTGGGGACGAACCAAGCCCAGGTGGTCAGCCACCATGGGTGCAACGGACGACGCCGAAATTTGGATTTATCGGAGGCGGGATAGCGAGCTTCGCGATTGGGCAGTTTTGAAAATCAAATTCAGCCTGCTTGAGAGTCGTTTAGGATGAATTACCACCATGGATGGGGTCGTCTGGGTGTGGGGAACTGACCAGTGGTAGCCTGCGATCATGGGGCTGGCCGGTCGGTGAGATTCCGACAGATTTGGAATTTGCAGCAGCCGGGTTTGAAGGCCGATTTCTACTAAAGCCTTAGGTGTTATGGCTGGATTTTGGATAGTAATCGAAGAGGGTGTCGAGGGCTTTACAATGGTATCCATATTCGGTGGTCTTGGAACCTGGTAGTTGCCGGAAATTTGGTCCATTTTTGGTAGTGGGAAGGGGCAAAACTCGACCCTTAGGTAGAGAGAAGTTGCTGGAAATATGGTCCATTTTTCATAAATTTTAATTCGATTTTGTTGTTTTTTGGGGCTGAAATTTGTGTAGGAATATTAGGGGTTGATGCGGAGATGGTGTTGGTGCAAAAATTCGATGGCTACAGTAGCCTGAAAATGGCCGGCATGAGACGATAGGGTGGGTGCGAGTTTCGGGAAGAAGGTGAAGTTTGATGGGTTATTTGCACTTTTTAAAACGTTTAGGCCAATAATTGCAATTTGTTCAATTATTTTTCTTTTCTTTTCTTTTCTTTTTGTTTCAATTGAATGGAGGGTAAAATAGTCAAAATATGGTGAAAATGACGTTCAGCGCAGGAAAAGTGATAGGTAAGGGTATAAATACCAAGAAATGAAAGGTATCTTTTCTTTTTGTTTCAATTGAATGGAGGGTAAAATGGTCAAAATATGGTGAAAATGATGTTCAGCGCACGAAAAGTGATAGGTAAGGGTATAAATGCCAAGAAATGAAAGGTAGGGACGGTTTCCAAAATCAACCTCAAAGATAGGGACGTTTTGTGCTAATTAACCTTTTTGAATTGTATATAGGGCTTTGGGTGATTTTTCCCAAATTTACAAACAAATCTCTTACTGGCCCTTTGAATATCAAAGGCAATTGGTCCACTTCCAAGGACAATCCAATTTTTTTCTGGCTCGTCATGTTCCTCTATATAATGCTTGTCAGGGAAAAAGACAGGAGTACAGAGAATTATTGACAGAGTTCTTACCGATGTTGACGTGGTAGCAGATGATTGTACCATTTTTTCCCTTTTCATCTTCCAATCAATTCTCGTTACACGTTTGTCAAAATTTTCTGTACTTGTAGTATGATTGTGCTTGTTTGAAAATGGTCAGGGGACACTAAGTTTTTTCAAACTACCCACTCAAATGACATATGAGTGTCCTTAAGTTTAATTTTTATTCTCTTTTACTTTTTAATAAATTTAATTTTTAATCATTATCTATCTCTTATAATTTTTTTTCCATCCAAAAGTTACACAATTTGATTTGAATATATACAGTTAAACTAAAATTTGAAAAATTAGTTTTATTAAATTAATTTTTTGAGGATCTTCATTAAATTAAATTATTACATATTACTAAATACCTAATTACACACAGCATAGAAACATAATTATGTGATTCTAGGACCTGCATTACTGTCAAGACAAGTTGAATCAAAGAATTAGGTGTTGTTTAAGTTTTTGATAAAAAAAATTAGCAAATTTTGTTAAAAGTCGATGAAATGAATGGTTGACCGATTGATAAAAATTATGAATCTTATGATATATATGATTAAAATGAAGTTTGAAAAGTTGATTAAATTTAACAAATACTTTAATTTCTTGCAACATTACCTCATGAACTTGAATTCTTGATTTAGTTGGGCGCCAATATATTCAACCATGCATTTTATATTAGAAATAAAACGAAATTCAAAGGTGAAACTTTAAGCATGAACCTGTTCATGTTTCGCCCTTTTGAACACTTAAATTAATTCATAACATTTAAAACAAGACCTATTCTCATATGAAGTGAACAATAATGCTTGGACATAGGTCATTATTTAACTGGGTGGTTTGGAAAAACTAAGAGAGAAATGGAATACAAATTCATTATGACACAATGGTCGAGTGTAATCAAATAAGTTGATAGTCCTACCACGTGTGCATATATACATTCTATCGAACTTTTTCTTCAGGGGATGAGGCTTCGGCATGATTCACACAATTCAATTTTCTTTCTTTTCTTTTTTTAAAGTAAAGACTATTATTTCGAAAGTTCAAAAAATTGAAAGGTTATTCTTCGTGAAACTCGTTTATATTCCAACAACTTTATAATCTCAAGTCATAACCTCTTGTAACCTTGACATATTTGCTCTTATTGGAGTGGGGCTAGTTGGGGGGGTGGGGGAGGAAATCATGCATTACTTAAATTGATAAAAATAGATTCATAAAGATCATGTTATGATTATTCAAATGTGTGATTAGGATATGGGAATCTTTGAAGTAGCCCACTTGATGAGTGCAAAGAGAGGGCCAAAGGTTTGGTTACACTTGCAGTTATGCTGTCCATTTCTTTCTGATTTAAATGGAACTACATAATTCACACACTATGAATATTATTATACATTTATACTAATACAAATATGAGTAAGTTTTTTTATATGTCTAGGATTTTGGGGAGGTCCCACTTGTAGTACACTCCAACTCCAACAATTGGTTCACTTCCCAACTTTGTCTGGGTGCAACCCTGTCATGTACTGGTACATATTCCTACAAAATATCCAATCAAAATAAAGAAGAAACGGTGAATCATTTCTTTAAGTGGCATCTCCTATTGGTCACCCTCCAATAATTCAGTGACGAACTCCATCAAACCTATGAGCAAGTTTTAAAATAACATTTTTATTCATCAAAAGTTGGAAAATAAGTACTTATTTTTAAGATCAAACCTCCAATCTCTTGATCAACTCTTCTGCTGAGTCTGCTACAACAACTATCTTTCTTGCTGAATCTTCTATGAAACCTTCTTCCACTCCTTTGTCAAATAACGCAAGTAAGCTATTATAGTAGCCACACACATTTAGCAATCCAACCTGTTCACAGAAAACTTTCTAAATCATGAACCATACGCTAAGTAATAAAAGATTAAGGGAAGAAAATTTTTACTGGTTTTTCGTGAATTCCGAATTGAGACCAAGCTATGATTTCCAATAATTCTTCCATGGTTCCATAGCCACCTAAATTAAAAAACAAATAAATGTTAAAATTTGAGGTTTTTTAGAGGAGAAAATGGAAGTGAAATTGTGTTTGCATGAAGAAGAATTAATACCAGGAAGGGCAATGAAAGCATCAGCATTTTTTGCCATTTCTGACTTTCTTTGATGCATATCTTCCACTACTTTTAGGTCTCCTATAGTTTCTCCTGATATCTGCAACAAATTCATTTCCATCATAGATTAATTCTATTTACTGGGAAGCTAAATACACATTTATTGACTGTATAAGAAAATTTTTAATGAAAAGAATAGAATAATACCTCATGTGACAGGAGGGCTTTAGGAATTACTCTATAACCAAACATCAAAACAAGAAATTTTTTTTGAACATCCTATAGGAAAATTTGTAAGTGGAAATAAAACAAGATTATATATGTATTGATGATCACTTGGCAGGAATCATACCCGAGAACATGTCGACCGCCGTCAAAGACAGTTTTCGATATTAACCCCATCAATCCTACACTACCTCCACCATAAACTAGATCAATCTTTCTGTCAACCTGTACACGGAATAAAAAAATTCTCAGTTAATCATAATTATCTCGATGTACAAATCAATCACAAGACGAGTGATATATACATGTGACTTACCAGTTGTTTTCCAATCTGAAGAGCTGCATCACTGAACGATGATTTGTAACCTGTTCTACTACCACAGAAAACACAAATTCTCTTAAATATTCTCCTCTTTGCTTCCTTTGTAGATGTTCCTTCTTCTCCTTCCATTCTGTCAGGAAGATTATGGAGTTGAGGAGAGAGATTCTAGGTATGTGTAAGGAAAAAGCAGAAGCAAAAACCCACACACACACACACACTCCTTGAGGCTTTTTTTTTTAAATAACCCAAACACTACCTTTTGTCACCTAAAACAAGTACTTGATCAGATCAGTGTTGGAAAAGAACCCAACGTGGATCAATAGAGCCCATTTCCATATCTCCTTTTATCATCTACACAACCATACTGTTTAAATTATAATTATGAAGATAGTTTCTTGAAATCTATGGAAGAAAGCCCAAATCAAAGAGAGAGAGAGAGACAGAGAGAGAGAGTCTATATCAGACTGATCTGAGCTAGATAGATTTGTCGTCTGTATATGTCTCTAATATTTAAGAAAAATGTGCAAATTAATGAAATAGACAAAGACTTTGAGTTCATTTGACTGAGCAAAACAGTATTATGTTGCATGCACGCACGCACGCGCACAAACCATTATTTGTTGTTCATCTTTTCCTCTTTTTTCAGTTTTTAAATAAAATCTTGGAGCATGTTGTGTGGTCGAGATTGGAGAATATGAAAGTAGTGGTGGGGATGGTTGTAATTTGTTGTCACCAGTGCATGTCTCTCCAAGGTCAATAATTTGTTTGGTAAGATGGAATTTAGTCGAAGAGTCCAAATTAAACACATTTGAGAAGACGACTATTATTTACTATAAGACAGCCAAAACAAGTTTAACATACGCGGCACATTTCATATATAAGGTGAATTAAATAATCATTGAATAGTAATAAATCTTATTGTAGTGTTAGTGACTTCTAATCCTCGTACCAAATATTTCTCTTTCTTCATTTCAACCACACATTCTATCAATAAAATAATATTACACGTAAAACCCAAAAATTCTCATTACTTTTTAACCACACATTCTTCTATCAATCACTATTCCAGAATTTATTATTTCCCCAAAATGGGTGTCAAACACATGGCACGGTTCAATGTTTTAGGAGAAGCAACTTGAGTAATCAATATCATTAATGACTTATTTTGAACTACAAAGACATAATTATGTTTCATTCTTGTCGACTTTACAACATGATTACTATTAAAGAATTTTAAGAATCCTCCACGTCCTTGTGAGTCGTAAGAAAGAAAGAAATTAAGCGCAAGACAAGATAAAGTATTAACATGACATACAAAAGCGCAAGACAAGATAAAGTATTAACATGACATACAAAGTTTTAGCTTTTTTTTCCTTCTTCAATACTATATTAATAAGAATATTTGTTGAAGATGATTAAACTCAATGCCCGTCATAAAATTATTTCTTGAGTGGAACCCATGAGAAAAAGAAATAAATTCTTCCACTTGAAACAGGAATAAATGAGGCAGTCATATGTCCCACTGCCACAGGCATGCATGTACTTGTATGGATTGGAGTGCTAATGCATTTGCGGTAAATTTCTAATGTTTCTCCAGTTCAGTTATAGTGTAATTCTCTCTGCCTAATGCTTTGGAAGCTTGACGATAACGTTTGGTTCACAGTACAAAAAATAATTGAATTGTCAAATAATACAAAATAATATTGGATAGATCGTCCATATCTTTGTGGTCAATGGTTATCATAGAAAGTTTTTGGGCCTGCATGAAATGGACCACATGGCGGTTCTCATGACCACTTTGAAAGTTCGGAATTAAAGTATACACAAAATTACTCTGAACCTTACATTTTGAATACCAATTTCAAAAATCAGGTGTTTCTATTTTTTCATAAGATTCAGCTATACGTCGTCTACCCAGCGGCCATTAAGGCGCTTGTGAGTACTGAAATCGGTATCATGATCAACGCTACTAACTATTCACCATCTGCTAATGGATCTGAACCCATGTTAAAAAACATTGGATCTGAACTTGTGTTGAATCTATAGTCGGTGATTTGGGTGGTGAGCTACTGCTTTCGCATTTGGTTGTGCACGTTTGAATGTATTTACGATGCAGAGGGGGGTACAGGAAGTAGTAAATACTATTAAGTTGTGAAGTTTAATTATTGCCACTTTGTGGGGTAGTCGTCGTTAAGCTTTATCTTATAACTACAGTCGGTTTTGCCCTAATTTATCTTATAAATATGGAGCCATTATTAGGCTTTATTATTATCACAAAAAAGAGGGAGAAGTTAGAGGAGATATGAGTGCGATTTTTCTTGTAAACCTTTTTTTGATAGTGAATTAATGTTGAGGCAAGAGAAGACGTAGTCTCTCATTGAAGCGAACATCTATAAATCTTGCATGTTTTTGGGTGTTTATTTTCCTTTCTTCGACTTGACTGCTCTCGGTAGAATAGAATTAAGATTTATAATTCTCAACAATTGGTATCAGAGCTTCTAGTTTGATTGAGAGCAATGACGGAGAAGAAGGAACGTCACTGGAAACCTGTAAGTTCGATGGTTTGGATTTTCCGTTCTAGAGGATACATATCGAGGATTATCTTTATAGTAAAAAATTGCACCATTCCCTTCTGAATGAAAATTCGGAAGAAATGAAGAATGATGAATGAAAACTACTTGATGTTCAGGTATTGAGTGTTATCCAATTGATACTATTGAAGTACGTTGGCCACAACGTGGTGATGGAGAAAACCAAGACGAATTTGATGAAAGTATCATTCGATACGTATGAGAAGTCATCCACGTGTAACAATGTACATCTAATGAAAAAGATTTAAGCGTATGAGATGAATGTCCTAAGCATCGATAGGCAGTCTCATATATGCCATGCTATGTAGTAGACTGAATATGTACTATGTTGTTGAGATAGTGAGTTTATATCAATCTAACCCAGAATTAGAACATTGTATAGAGATAAAGCATATATTCAAGTATATTTGGAGAACAAAATCAATATGACAAAATCTTGTAGTTAATCATTGATAACATATGAACAAACAATATAGCGCTTATTATTTTGATTGAAAGTAGGGGTGGGCAAAAAACCGACCGAACCGATCGAACCCACCGAACCGACCCTTTGCATTTTTTGGGCGGTTTTCGGGTTTTGAATTACGTGGTCGGGTCGGGTTGCGGGTTGGCACCCTAAACCCGACCCGACCCAACCCAACCCAACCCGAAAAAAAAAAAGAGACTTTAAATTGACAAAACAAAAGAGAGAGCTGACAATCAGACAAACTCACGTACCAAACCCTATCTTCCCAAAATGAGTCCCCTCTCTCTCTCTCTAAGGGCGCCTCCTAGGCTCCCACTCCATTATTTATAGGTCCGAACTTAAATAAGGATGAGCACAGTAAGTGGATCTTGCTAAATAAGGATGAGCACAGTAAGTGGATATTTCTTTTGGATATCTTTCGTGTTTCTTAATGCGATTTCTCGTGGTTCTTATTCGTCGAACACAGTCTACAGGGAATCCTAAATGCTTCTGTAGAACTGATTTTATAATTTTTTGCTCTAAAATTCCTGGATTTATGTAGTGATTTGGAGAAGTCTACCGAATTTTCACCCTATTACCATTTTCGAGAAAATCTGGCAGCTCTTGATTTTATGCTAACTCAAAATTGGTTCTTGACTTTGAATCTTTTCATCTTTGTTTAGAAGTTTCATGCAAGTAGAACATGAGGACTACAGAATGTGTGAATTATTAGTCAGTTTTTAATTCATCTGTTTTGTAAGTTTCCCCATTCTTTTATGTATTTACTTGACTTTAGAGAGTTGGCAGTGGCTGGAGGATAAATATTTGGCAGTGACTGCTAGTAAATTCACCCATTTTCCCTCAAAAATTTCAATCAAATTTAATTTGCAGGTTCAAGAATTTGTTTCTCTCATTCAATAAATATTGACTTCGTGTTTTTTTTGGTGATATCTAGATGAATGAATTCAAGACAGGCCCTGATTTTTCAGCAACTTCTATTGGTAAGTCAGGTTCTGCACTTTCTCTATGGTCATCTCAAGGTTGGTTCTTGAAATCTGTTTTTCCCCTTTTTCTTCTTTCTACGTTTCTTGATATATTTCCTTAGTTTTCATACTATAAATTAGTCGAATAGTTAAAATTAGCATTGGCAATGTGAGTCTTATATATGCATATCCTATATATTGTTGTATTTTAGGCCTAATTTGTGAGAGATTTTGGTATTGTTCCCAAGATTTTTTGCGCAAAGTCAAAACCGACCAACCCAACCCAACCCGACCGAAACTTGACTAGGTTGGGTTGGGTTGGGTTGGGTTGGGTTGAAACACTTAAATGGGTTGGGTTGGGTTGATTTTCGGTCAAACCGACCATGTTGGGTTGGGTTTGGATTGAGTAAAAAACCGACCCAACCCAACCCATGCCCACCCCTAAATTGAAAGAAAGCATATTGAAGGAAATTTACGATTATTGGCCAAAAAATGAAAAAGTATTATTGTAGGCAAAGATAAATTCTGGATAAACGCAAAGTATTTAAAAATTCGAGCACTTAAAAGAGTAATTCCTAAGGATAGAACTGGATCTTTGTAAGAAAGAAGAATGAGGACAATGCAATTAAAAGATATAAAGTCTGGCAAGTAGCACCATATTTTTCACAAAGACCTGACATCGATTTCGAGGAAACATATTCTCTTGTAATAGGCTCCATCATAATTAGATTTTTAATTAGTTTGATGGTATCTCCAATGCTCAATGTAATTCATCTGTAACGTCACTTGTGAGAATGACATATACATGAAAATCTATGAAGGATTTAAGGCTTGTTTGGCAGGATTTTTCTACAATTAATTTTTTTCCTAAATCATTTTCAACCACACATCCTATAAACCCGCAATTTTCTTACTTTTCAATCACACGTTCTCCAAAAAAATTATTTTTGATCTGAAAATTCTATGTCAAACAAACTTATATGATCAGAGCTATGTTCTTAGTGTATTTGTAAATTATTGTATTGGTTAAAATAACTTGGACGTATAAAGTATAATTCCCTTAATAAAAGAGGGTTATTAAAATGAAGATATTTCCTCTTGTTTTCATAAAAAAATCAAATATAAAATTTACAATTGTGACAGCCTATGTTGATGATTTAGATCTAATGGAAACTTTTGAAGAGCTCAATAAAATTGTAAATTATTTGAAAAATGAATATGAGATGAAAGACGAGAAAAATCAAAATACGTCTTGAGTTGTAATTCGCAAATTGAACATTTTCAAGAAAGAATATTTGTTTATCATTCTTCATACACAAAAATATTAAAACGTTATTATATTGATAAAGGTCCCCCCATTAATATCGTCTACGATTGTTCGACCACTTAATGTAAAAAAAAAAAAAAAATTTATTTTGCTTATTTGAAGAGAGAAAAAAGGTTGAAATACCATAACTAAGTGCAATTGGGGGCATTAACCTATCTTTCAAATTGTACCACGATCAGACCCAATTTTTTCTATAAATCTCTTGCAAGATATAACTCTGCACTAGCTCACAGACATTGGAGCTCTGTTAAACACATTCTAAGTTACCTGAAAAAAAAATTTGAGATCTTTTTTAGTGGAATTTACATATGCATATTATATCTCCGATCCACATAAAGTTAAATCTCAAACAAGATATGTGTTTACACGAACAAATATATTTTGTCGATCGATGAACTTTGACATCAACACTTTCAAATTTTGAAATTATTTGTAAACCATATAACAAGTCAATAATATATATGGTTTTGGAATATGACTCATCATATTGAAACGTTATGTTGATTAACTTCGATAAAGGATTGCCCAACAATATTATATGAAATAATGTAGCTTGTATTGCACACTTGAAACAAGATTATTGTTGACCTATGGTTGATTTCATGTTTAATTATAACAAACAAATTGTTATTATCTCTAACTATTGAATTCGAGTCTTCATAGCTATTGTTGCAAAGTTGATCAATTGAAGACAAAAAGATCGCTATCAAAAGACTGGCAATTGACGAACAATAAAAATTGAGATGGAAGCTGAACATCCACGTCAAGAGAAGAACTTCAACACTCAAGCATGAAATATATTAGATTTAGATGTTTTGGATTTATATGTAAAGATAAAATGTTTTAATCATTAGAAATAGATCGTTAAAAACTCAAAGAATGAATATTTATGTACAAGAAATTTTTTTCATAAAAACGCTTGTATAAAAATTATTTTTCAAAATGTAAGAATTTCAACTTGATATTCAAACTTTTCACAATCTTACTTACCTTGAAAAAATTAAGTGAAAACGTCATTCAAAAACTTAGGGACTATTCTCTTTATATTTGAATTTTGTATTTTGAGTGTCTGTTTCGAAATTTCTGAAAATGCGTTCTTTTTGTCATTCTGAAAAATTGTTTCTGAATACATAAAAATGGAAAATGCTTTTTACTTTGAAATTTTAAGAATTTTTTTTTTTTTTTTTTTATTCAACAAATCTGATTATTCAATAAATTTTAATAGTTTAATGTTAATATAGTATTAAATAACATATAAATTTGAACCTTAGCATACAAATCACAGAAGACTCGTATGCAAACAATTAGTAGCCCCTTTAAAACAAAATGAATATGCCATTGCTATTTTCATTGTCGCCAGACAAGACTAAATTTAAATTTGACAAAACAATTCAATCGATACGATTGGAAGTTTACATGTACGACGTCTTGAGTAGTCATTCCACATGTGTGTAGCAATTTGATCCCTAACATAATGTTTCCACTGCATCTCACGAGTAGTCAATGGAAGTCCGGTGGGTCCAAGTAGGAAAAAATTCACTAAAAATTGGACACGTGTGAGTTTTTTTCTTCGATATACTAAAAGAACTAGATGAGTAGTGGCCTCAAGTGTCGAATCCGTACCCTACACAAGGCAAAATGCCAATTCTTTCAAAAGCTCTCTATCAAAAGATCAGAGTGGACACCAATGAGATAACTCATCAATTGATATAGTGAGATAACAATTAACAAAATATAAAAATAATTCTTCTACCATTTTTTCACTTGTATTTTGAAAATCAATAAATCAAGCCTTCATTTGCTATATTTGTGTCCATCAGATGCTGCCATTATGGATTAGCCAAATGCATTGCCACCATCTCAGCTTCTATCACCAAGTCCAAATCCCTTCAATCCATAGGCCAAAACCAATGATCAAGGAAATAGAACTATACATTAATAGAATATACCATTAGATGGATCGGACAGAGCTCGACATGACAGTATAAAGAAGGAAAAGAAATTAAATCTTATTGACAGTCTAGTAAGATCAAATACTTGAAAAGAAAAGTTAATTTTTTTTTCATTATACACTAAATTCTATCCAATAATGCATATGAAACACCAAACAGATTTAACACAAGCTAGCCGCCATTCAAAAACCAGCCTGTTAGAGATGGGATGTAAACTTTAAACATTAAATGAACACACTATAATAGAGCCAAAAATAAACACATTAAAGATGGGATGTAAACTTTAAACATTCTACCACTGACTTTATAATCATCATTAACTAACATTAACTTGTTCCCTACATATAAACTGTTTAACAGCGTTCCACAGAGAAAACGAGTAAACTGATTCACATTGAAGGTGAAGGCCGGCATAAGAAAGTCAACAAAATGAGCTTTCAACTATGAAGCCAAAAGCATCATTGTTAAATCAAACATTGTCCATCATATTTCCAAAAGGCCAACTAACTTAACAGCATTATAGCAAACTTGGTTCTGATTAACGTTCCATTTCCAAAATTTCTATCCAAAGACATTCGCCCATCCCACTATGTAAAGGTACGAGATCAACAAATACCTAAATTATGCGTTACAACACATATTAGCATACAGTTCTAGATATACTTACAGACACGTTTATCCTGTATACTACTGAATTCACATGTTCAAACAAAGTAGATGACAGTATAAAGGTTTTATGTCCAGAGGAAGCCAAGCTTATTAAAAGGTAAATCTCAAATTATATCAATTCCTTCAATGTTGCAACTTGATACAAATATGGAGGACCAAGGCTACAAAGCTTTTATAGATGTAGATTTTTATGTCCCAAGTATCATTAATGTTGAAACTTGTAGATCAAAAGGTGCTAGAAACAAAAGTAATCAAGTGGAGAAGCTTTGAGATTTAGAGGTTGTAAGTAATTTTATAATGGGGGTCTTAAAAGAGAGCAACATGGAGACGATCAGTTAAAGAAATGTGAAAATACAAATGAGATTTGCACAGTCATGGGTTTACCATCAGCTAAAGACAACCTTAACTCTCAATTACATCAAACGATGCATGTAATGCTGAATTAAATAAAAGACCATTGAGCATCTGACAAATTTGCCTTCCATTAAAGGTTCTTTGCGCTCAACTCGGATGGTTGCAATTCCAAATTAAAACACATTTCTAATATTAATAAATATACATATACAAAAGCGAACTCATACCCAGCTAAAATCCAGCAAATGGTATTATAAACATGACAAGGACAAGGTGGTAATAAATAATTTTAAACAAAAAGTATGACCAATGCAGTAATTGAATTCAATATAGCTCACCAAATTGAATAAAAAAAACTTGGGAAACAGAATCTACTAAGAGAATAAAAGAAATCACGATGAATCTTACCTTCTTGATAGCTAATCTCTGCAATTTAGGGACCTCACCCAACAACCGGGCCTTCGTTCTCCGAATCTCCGCATTGATCGCCACAGCTGACGCCCTACTCTTCTCCTGCGAAGCAGTCTCCGCTTTCTGCCAAAATCAAAGTAATAAAACATAAACAATCGAAATTCCAGCATTACTTTTCAAATAGATTCAAAAGAAATTGAAAATTTAGGGATTCTATTTTAATACCTGAAGAGCAGCCTCGATGTCGGACGCTACGGCGGCGTAAAGGCGGGCGAATGCGTCATCGCCGGCGATGTTGGAATCCTTCTGCTTTTCAATGTCATATTTGTCATACTTCTTGCAGATCGCATCCACCCGAGTCAAAATGTCGATCACACTCATTGTAATTTCACCTTTTTCTTTCTTTGTTTGGGAGTTTAGGGGCTTGGAAAGTGGTGGTGGAGTGTGGCTTGGCAGTAGAAAGGAGGAAGTGTTTTGGCCGTTTCTCGTGTTTTCCAACTTGGTGCTGCGTCTGTGAATTCTGTTTTCTACACAAATTTTTTTGTGTTTTCGAAAACTCGTTTTTGAAAATGAGTAAGAGAACTCGTTTTCACAGTTTTGAAAAATCGAAAACAAAAAAAGGCTTGAAAACGGCAAAGAGAACGACCCCTTACATTTTTTCAAAATAATCAAGAAAGAAAAATTCGGGAAATTTCTACCCAAGCGGACGTCCGGTTCGCACAACGATCAATTTTTTTAACCGTTCTGAATTCTGAAGCACAAAGGCTATTTGGTTGTATGGTTCAGCATGCGAACGTTCGGATGGGTCGTTCGATTAATCAGAATTTTTGGCGTTTTAATTGCTATAAATAAAATTTCACTTTACATTCAATAAAACACTTTTGAGAGCAATAAAGTGAGACATTGTTGAGCTAAACTATATTAATTACCCATCTTATTTATCTTTATCAAATTATTTACTTTGAAAAACTTTTGATTGAATCAACTTTTGAAAATCATTCTTCTCATCGAAATTTTTCTTACGTAACACTTGAGCTTCATTCGTTGTTATTTATTAAAGTGATAGCTTATTTCTCTCTTTGTACTTAATTTGATCATATTGTTTATTAAGAGAGAAGTTTCAAATTGTAAAATTAACTTTCTTTAAATTTGTGATTATATTGAGGCCCCATAAAATTCAATATTGTATAAGGATCGAAACTCCTTATTTTTAAGTCACCGAAAGCGTTATAAGGAATTGGATTGCACCATAAGTCAATCAAATATAGTGAAAAGGCATTGCTCGTGACGAAAAATTTGGTAACAGAGGACATAGATCATTGTTTGGATTGAACCTCCACAATTATATCATTTGCACTTCCCTTTTACTTATTGTTTTCTTATCTGTGCATTTTTGTTTAATTGATTTATTCATCCTTAATTTGCTTAAACTGAATTAATTTTTCGAAAAAATTTTAATAACTAATTCAACCCCCCATCTTGATTAGTTATTCTTGGGCTTTCAACTATATCAAATGAGATAGGACAAAATATATTTCTCCAAAATACTTTTATATGAGATTCAAAAGAATGACGACATCAATGCTCTATAAATTCCCTTAAATGATAATGTGCCCATGTTTGGTAGAGATTAAAATTAAATTTTTAATAGATTTTGATAAAGTTGATGAAATGTGTGGTTGAAAAGTTATGGGTTCCATGAAATGTGTAATTAAAATTAATTGTTGAGTTTGACTTGATAATTTAATACAAACCAAAACCTGGACTAAACAATGACAATGTAAACATCTACATTCAAAAAAAAAAAAAAAATTGATATACGATATTGGAGTGCATCGACTTAAAGATTTTCAGTATAATATTGGCAAGAATACCTATACTTTTTTTCTTTCGTCAAAGTTTTATCCCACTAAATTTTTTTAACAAGACTTTTAGCCCCTGTTTGACAACCATCTTTTTTTAAAAAAAATTCGAACTCATTTTCATCCACACATTCTCGCAATAAAATATTCTATATGTAAACTCAAAACTTTTTCATATTTTCTAACCACAAATTCTCAGAAAAATCATTATTTTAAAACTCATTTTTCCCAAATTTTTTTTTTTTAATGGTTGTCAAACATAGGCTTAATGAAGCCATGTATTTTAATACTCAAAAATTTTAATAATTAATAATATTCTTTTTTCCTTCACTGAATCTTTTTATCTCAATGATTTTTTGTCAAACAAAGATTTAGCAAGGAAGTTATTAGAAATATTCAACAAAGACTGAGTGTAGTGAAATTATAGATAATTATTTATCATTATTTAGGGCATGTTCGGGTCGGATTAAAATCCGATTTTAATTCAAGTCAAAATCAAACAATAAATATTAACCACATCTTTCATGAGTCTCACATCTTTTCAACCATATATTTCAAAAATTTCTATCATAATCCACTAAAAATCTAGAGCTTGTCTATCAACAATTTTTCCCCATATTAAAAGCAATTTTTGGACCGTTGCTGAGCTGAAGTGTGAGAGAAAGGTCAACAATTGCGGCTGACAACGATAAGAAAATGGATTAAAATTTGGGGAAAAGCAGAAACAAACAGGGCCCTAATTTTAATTCCCACCAAACACCCTCTTAGTCTTTTTAAGATACTTAGCAGATAAGTCTTACCTACTTTAGGAGTCGTTAATTACGCTCATTTTTCTTTCAAAATAGTTATATTGGTTCAATTTGACTTTGACATGTTGATTTAATCGATAATCCATCGGTCAAATTAGTAATCTTGTGGTCTTGATGGGATAAATGATAGGATAACACCTTTTAATTAGAGAAAATTACCCCAAACCCTGCCTTTAAAGTTTCAATTTCAAAAATCAAATCTTAATAACATTTTTTCAATAATCAAGTAATAATTCATCTTTTAAATATTAATAATAATATTATAAAATTTAATTTAATCAATATATTCATCCCACCCCTTCCAACATTCATTCTAATCCAATTTTATTTCAAAACTCTAATCACGTTTCTTTATCTTCTCTCTACTTTTTTCCTTCTCTCCATAATCTCTCCTCTCTATCACAAACAACCATTAGTGATACCGTTGCCACCATCGGCGATGCTTACGACGTCATCACTGTACCAACATCGCTCTAAAGCAACTAGCATAAACGGCGCTCCAGTGGTCTTCGCTCCAGTGGTATTCGCTTCGTGTCGCTGTGACCAAATGATGTTGCTGTGTAGTGGCGCCTCTGTCTTCACCATTGTTCAGCCTCTTCCAGTAGCAGCATAAGCGGCGCTCTAGTGGTCTTCGTTGCTCTATAGAGGCATGTATGCGGTGGTGTTCTCATCGCTGGTATGTGATCTTCGGTGGTTGTGTAGATCCGTACTGCTATGTAGAGCATTTATTCGGTGGTGTCTTTCCCACTGTTATGTGATCTCTTGAAGTTGTGCAGATCTGAGCGGTGGACTGTGGGTGGTGGTGTCAATGTTGGTGGTAGGTTATGGTGGTGGCAGTGGTAAAAAGAGTGGTGCTAGGTGGGGGAGATAAAATGATAATTTGTGACCACTTTTGATTGATTGTGACCAATAATTGGTTAATTTTTGACAAATTAAGAACATGTGACCTAAAAATTGTGGCTGTGACTCACATTTTATTAAGTTATAATCGAGTTGTGACCAATAAAAGTAATATGTGACCTATAATTTGATATTTTGTGACCATAAAATAAGTTGATTTGTAAATTTTGTGATTTGTGACCGATGAACAAATTGTAATTTTTAAATTTTTAATTTGTGACCGATTATCGAACTGTGACCTATAAAATTTTTGAATTGTGATCAAAATGCGTAGATCTGTGACATTTATATATCTATTAATAAATCTTTTAAATTTTTAATTTGTGACCGATGAATGAATTGTGACCTTGCAAATTTTTGAATTGTGACCTTAAAATTTTGAATTGTGACCAAATTGCATAGATTTGGGACCTTTATATATTTATTAATAAAATATATAATTAATTAATTAAATTATAAATAAATTTTAATGAAAACCTGATTTTTGAAATTTAAAACCTATATCCTTAATTTTGAAATGGTGATACTTAAATACCTTATTTATATATTGTTCCCTTTTAATTACGCCCGTAACAATTACATGAAACTATAATTTACCATCAATTATCAATTTGAGAATCACACGGAACAAAATTTTCCAAAATAGACAAAATTAGCCCATGTTTGATCTACATTAAAATTTTAATTATCATTCTTCTACTCATTTTTAACCATACATTCTTCAATAAAATAATATTTTCCATCACATTAATAATTTTTCCTTTTTTTTCGACCACACCTTCTCCATCAATCTAATATTTCAAAATACATTATTCCAAAATAATGTGATTGAAACAAAGTTGGCAGTTAACAGGACCAAACTTGAGGCTTCGAGGATCTTAATCAAAACCGAATGGCGTCAAACTTTCCAAGCACTAACATACGAAAATTCACAGCTGCGTAGGCGGCTGCTCATCCAACCACGTCAACTAGACAATATAAGATTGTGACGTCTCAATTCAAACAAGCCACAATCACACAGACGCCTACACACTTTGTCTACACGCACTCACTAAAATCTTCTACTTGGGAGAGTTCAATTCAGAACCAAGAGATGGGGCTGCAAGGAGAAAATGCGCAGCGGACTGAGGATGTGGTGGCGGTAAAGCCGAAACCCAGTAAAGGACTCACTTCCAAGGCCATAGACTGGTTGGAATGGCTGTTTGTGAAAATTATGCACGACTCCAAACAGCCTCTTCATTATCTTTCTGGGAATTTTGCTCCAGTTGATGAGACTCCTCCTCTTAAGGACCTTCCTGTTATAGGGCACCTCCCTGTTAGTCCAATTTTGATGTTCTTAATGACTATAGCGTATTACTTCGATCAAGTTCATGGAGTTTATTTAAGTGCTTTATGAATTTGTGGGATTTCTTTTCTATGACTTTGTCCCTTTGATATAGTTCTAACCTTCAGTGCCTCTAGACTAATGGTCTGTTGTATTCCAAGAAATTGTAATTTCATTTGGCGATAGGATCAAGAAAAAGGAAACAAGAATCGGTTTTGCATAGATAATTGGTTTTATTATGTTTGTACATAATTTATCACTTCAATAGTCACACAGATGAAGCAATTCATCTGAACTTCCCATACAGGTTTTAGTTGAAGCCTGGAACTAATTGAGTACAAGTATTTTTTATTCCAACTATTATTCATTGGAATAATAGAAGGAAATATGATTTATGAAGACAATGTTTCTTGCACAAAAGTCTGCTTTTAACAGGATATCGTGTGGTTTACTCTGTGATTGGGTACCAAAACTATGTGGGAAGAC